AAGGGGCGATGACATAGGGGGCACGGATAGGATCGACGAGTGCGACTTCTAGGCTTTGCCAAAGTATTGCCATCATTGCTCAGGGAAGACGAAGAGTTGGCGCTACTGCAACTACGCGGAAGTGGAGGACGACTTGGTTGAGTGGGAGGAGGAATCTTTTCCGGCGCAGACTGAAGTAGTCGGTATCAGGGTTACCATCAATGTGGGCAGCGAAGGCACAGGTGGTGGCTGCACCTCTTCTCTGGTTCATCAATCTCCTCTTCTATTTCCTCCTCTATATACTCATCTTCCTCTTCCATTTCCTCTTGCTGATCCTCCACTGGCTTGTCCCCCATCTCATCTGGTTGGGGTTTACCATTAGATTTTTGCTTTCACATTCCGCACACCTGGTGGCATCCTGATCCAGCGGTTGCCCCAAATGACAGATCATGCAGATGAATCTGGGGTCATGAGAGTGCCTGCGGCGATGCTTTTTTAGATCACTAAATTCCCGGAAGCGACGTTCGCAGAGATCACAAGGAAAAGGTCGTTCCCCTAAATAAAGAGTAGAGATATTAGGAAAGAATTTATAGAAATTAAATTTAGGAAAAATACCTGTATGTATCATCATGTGTGGCGTCTTAGATTATAGTTAGATTGCACTTTTTACCACAGTCAGGACACTCGTACAGGTGACGTCCCCTCCTATTGACATACGAGCGTTTCCTTCTTGACGATGCAGGTTTCTTTCTTATGGCCCGTGGGCGCTGTTTTCCTCTTCCTCTTCGTCGGAGGGCAGGACAATCACCTGCTGCTCCTGGGAATTTTGAGGCGTGTTTTTCTCGTTTTCCAGGACACAACTAACAGTATTTGACGGAAGATTAACATCCTCATCTGCGTCGCTATTTGCATCCTGTTCGCTATCGCTGAGCTCGATTTCCGCCACAATCCTGTGCCCCTGTTTGGGAATCAATTCAATATCCGGCGATATCCTTTTTATAGAAGAATTCCAATTGGCCAGACTTCGAGCGCGCTTATTATTAACCCATTGGCTTGGGAAGCATCCTCCGCATCCAATTCAATGACCTCCTGTTCCCTTTTTTTCCTCTCTGCCTCCTTTTGTGCCTTCTCTATATCCTTGAGTCTCTTCATTTCCAACTGCTGCTCCTGTTGCTGCTGGGCTATGCGCAACAGGAAGCCCTTGATTTTGACATCATCTATGGAGACAAAGTTCTCCTCGGGCTCCTGGTACTCATATCTGACCGGATCGGGGGAATTAATCCGCAGCTGGCTCCACAGCTGGCATCACAGCAGGCAGCGCCCAAGCAGCAGGATAGAGCAGTACAGTCGCTGCAACAGTCCAAGCAGGACGATGACTTATTCAGGGTCAACTCCATTTTAAAGGTTTAATGCTGTAATTAAGAATTTTAAATTGATTAAGAGAATAATTAAAAATAGTATAGAACACCAAATCGTGACTTATTAATTCATAATAATTATTTTAATAATTCTTTGGGATGATCGTGTCCTTGCATCAAAGGTTGATCACTTTCAAGGCTAATATCTCGCATGTTCCATAAGAAAAATGTATAAAACAAAGACACACTCTTCTCTTTGTGTCCTGTCTGATTTAAGTGTTTACTAACCATATGATCTGAAAGGATATTCCGAAATTCAAGGATAAAGGCTCCTCCGACTATGTATCTTTAATCCCCGATCTTTGTTCTTTCTTTCAACTGCTCCCCTTCCTTTGGCGCTTTGCTTTCCTTTACTCTTTTTTTATCCGCGATTTCTGTGCTCGGCAACGTGCTGCGACTGCCGAGCGATGAAGTGAAGAAGAAACTGGATTCGCGAATCGCGATTTGCGGCTTGCCGAGCAGCAACCTCTCGACAAAACAACAAAAACGCCACAAAAGTCGAGTTTCAGTCGCCGTTGGCAGCGCTGCTTGGTCTGTGAATCAGCGAAGCGAGCAGAGCAGCAGCAACAACAACAAAAACAACAATGGGCGCTGCAGGCTTTTTTATTTTTCGAAACACGAACGTGAGCCTTATCCCCAACCCACCGCCCCTTCTCTACCCGTTTGCGTGTGTTAACTGATTTTTCTTCGGGCCACGCAAAAGCGAGAAACAACAAAACAAAGAAAATGCGCACAGGGCAAGCCCCAAAGAAAAGGCAACAAAAAAAAACAACAATTACAGGCAAGAGCAACAGGCGCAACAACTACAAGAGCAACAACAACAACTCACGATTTTCAAGACTACTCAGAGAGCCAAAGAGTGAGAAAGAGAGGCAACAGAATGGGCAGTTGGGGGTGTATGGAGCCGTGTGTGTGTGCCAGAGCGAGAGGGATGCGTGGAGGAGGAGGCCTGAGGGAGCAGCGTGACGGAAAAAACAGTAACAATAACAACAACGAGACCAGTAGCCACAACAACTACAACATAAACATCAACCACAACAAAAACATCTGGGGAGCTGCGACGTCGGCGTCAACGACGACGTCGACTTATTTTTATTGACGGCCGAGCAGCAGCGCAAAAGTAAACCGTGCGCCTTAATTTTTGTTATTTTTTATTGCCAGTTGCTTTTCTTCTTCTTCGCTCGTTGCCTGTTGTTATTGCTTTCCTTTGTGGTATTTCTTTTTTTAATTTCGCAGTAATTGATTTAATTATTGAAGATGGCTTTTGTTGTCCATTTTCAGGCCGAGTATCTTCGGACAAAAGCCTTTCGATCGTTCTTTTTTTCGATCAGTGCGAAAAAGTTGAGGAGAAAGGGTTGAAGGATTTTTTCTTCTTTATTGAATATTCTTTAATGTTCATGACGACTTTCAGTAATTTAAATTTAGTCCTTTAAAACAAAATACAAAAAAAAAAAAATGCATGAAAGCACTTTAAAAATAAGGTAAACGAGGGTTTAAGCATATAGTCCTTAAAAAATTAATCGTGAGAATTACCGACCAAAGAAATTCCAACCTCAGCTCACATAATTTATTGCATACTTTTTAGCCATATATTTAGTCCTTGAAATTGATTTTATCTTCGCATTAAATAGTATATGAAGTTTATTTTAAAGTAAATTTTAATCCTTTATAAATTGTAAACACTTAAGAAATGTTTTTAAATTTTTTAGTTATCGAAGAATTTTTTGGCTATTTTTCTCGAAAATTTTAAGGAGTAAGCATCGTTAAAATTCTCAAATCTTGGCAAAACAATTTATTTTTAAATTTTGAAACTAAGTACACAATAACAACTAGAACGCAAAAACTCTCCGAATTTAAAATAATGAATTTTTGACGTAGTTCTAAAATTTTTTTCAATTTAACAAAAAAATATCATATACAAATATGATATTTAATATACCTTTTAATATTAAAGCCCAATATACTGATATGCTAGTAATAGCATAATAAAAAAAATTGTATAGATATTTATTTTACACCACTGCTATGCATGAATTCTGCTCTTTAAATTCTAGGATATTATCCTTGCTTTTTAAGTTACTATCCTACCCAGAGATCCTTGATATCTACTTGGATGCTAAATAAATCACTATAGTTTTTTAAATTTATAGTGATCTCTGCAAAACTTCACATATATTAAATATACTTAAAAGTTAATATTTGTATATTTAAGGATACCTCTCCTATGTATACTCACATTTCTGAATTAAATTTGTGTAGCTTTCCGAATGTTAAGCCCTCGATCGCGTTCAGGTTTCAGTTGAATCCGTTCTTGGTAAGATAGTATAGCGTGTTTTCTTCTAATTTGTATGCCATTTGCGTGAGTAGCCAAGTTCTGGTTCCAAGCCTGCCACTATGGTCCCAAAGATCCGCTTCGAGTGCTGGGCTCTAGGCTTCCGCCTGGTCTCTCGGTCTCGGGAATATTGATGATCGTGACTGCAGCAGCGCACACTCATTTTCGTACTCGGGTGTTGTTATTTTTTTTCTCTCATTTTCGCTATAAAACTCGTTTATATCGGAGATCCAGTCTCTGGAAGTCAACACACAACGCCCACTCCGTGGTCCGTGTGGAATCGGTTTATCGGTCTCGGTCGGTCTCTCTGGCTCTGGCATTTGCGATGTTAGCCTGGGGGATTGGCATCCGTGTGCGATGTCTCAGCAACTGGCCTGGCCATGTGTCTCGTATCGTGTCCTATCTGTGTGGGGAACCAGTATCTCGGTGTTGGGGAGCGAGCGAGCGAGCAAATGGGGAGCAATGCTCGGCACTTCGGCTTCTGCCTCTTTCTGTCCCCCTCCCCCAAGGTGTTCGAACTTTTTCAGTCCCACTGTCTCTGGGTGCACAACATACACACACACACACACATACTCATCATGCAGGTGCTTTATAAGGCTTGGATGACGGTGGGGAGATATCGTGCTCGGCGAAAATATACAGATTCTTGGTATTATTTTTATAAATCAGTTACAATTAAATATATATATAAATATAAAAAAAATTATAGAAATTTTGAGATTAGGGAGGGAAATCGAAAGTCCTTTTTAAAGTACTTATAAAATATCTCATTTTAAGTAAAATTGAATATATAAATTTGAATTATAAAAATTCGTATACTTCAAAAGGGAATATAGGGATACAAATAACAAAATTCATATTTTTAAGAGCTATGTAATAAAATATATAATATAATTGCAATATTATTTGCAAAATGAACTTATTAATTAGGATTGTATAATACAAATATTTGAAAAGATTTACGAAAATATTAACATACATACCTTTCCAAGACAACTTATTTTCCTTAAGCGTTATCTGAAAAGTAAACGATTAAAATATATTACAGAAAAATAATCATATTTATAATATTCTTACCCAGATCCATTTTTAAGGGTATCTATAATGAACTATATTCCGAAATTATGACATCAGCTCTCCACACAATTAGAATTATCCATATAGAGTCCATATTCTAATTATATTTTCGATTTAATTCTAAACAGTTGTTTACTATAAACCCCTAGACATCTCCTTACTTATGTAATAAAGCAAAAAACAAACCGATGATCTATTTGAAAAAATGTTTAATAGGCATTTTCTTTCGATCTTGAATCATTTCTAAGTATAACATTTCCTGAAGCTACGTAAATTCGCTTACGATATTTAGAATCGAACTGTAAACCTATATAATATAGGTGTAAATACATATTTATATATATATATATCGATCTTTTTTTTTTTTTGGAGATATGCACATATATCGCCGCGAATATTTTGATCACATTATAGGCAATATAATGTTGGATTACATATTACGTACAGGAAACATATTTGGCAAAATTGGGACCTTGTTTGGTAGGCTAACATCTAACGAAACTAAATTATTCATATTATTTATATATATATGCAAAGGTAAACAAAAAAGATTATTTATAAATCAAAACATTTGTAAATGAAGAACATATCATAACACAAAAGATCGGGTGTAATAAATCTGCCTATATAATAGATAAACTTAAGCTAACACATTAAAAACGAATGTTTGCTAGGGATTAAAGAGCGAGCGAGTGTGTGTTGTGTGTTTTTGTGAAATATGATATGCAATACAGTTGTTTATAGCGTTAGACAAAACAACTTAACTATTTACAACAAAGCTACAAACTAATTATTTAGCAAATCAGTGGGTTCCTATGGGAAACCCACCCGACTAAAGCGAGTTGTTTTTCGGGTCGAGTACAGAAGATTTTGCTTTGGAGAGCTCTACGGATTTTAAATGAAGTTAGTTATATTAGATTTCCTTAAATTTTGTGTGTTCAAGATGCGTATTAAGTAGATAATACAGATCTGACATTAATTACTTTGTCTTCTTACTTTCCTTTAACTTTTCTTTAAAAAATTGTTTAAATGTAAGGCAGAATATGATTTTCTATTTGTATTATGGATTTCCTTGGAAGACAAGCCTAAGATTCTACCTGAGGCTTCCAAAGCAAAATACCCCATGAATAAACCAATATCTATTCTCTTATTATCCTTTCTTTTTGCATTCCCAAAATCGATTTTATCAACCGATTCTTAAAGCTTTTGCGGCACATCCTTGCTGGCGGCACTCGCCGTTCTCTCATGGTTAACAATGAACTTCTTGGCGCCCGACAATCCCTGCTTGTTGATGTAGAAGCTCTTCTGCGCCAGCGGTGAGCCACCGCCGCTGCCATCCGAATCCACAACCAAACGATTGAGGAAGGTGGCTGCCGTTCGGGCACCACTGTCGCAGGATGAGGACTCTATGCTGATGGTGGAGCAGCCACCAATCGATGACGTCTCGCTCTTGGCATCATCCATCAGCGTGGCATCGTCGTTCAGATCGTTAACTAACACCTGAGTGCTGGACGAAGCCGTCGATACTATGGAGGAGGTGCGACTGCGGCAGGTTGAGGAGTTTATCTCTGATTCGAGTGGTATGGAGATGCCCTCGTCGATGCTTTGGCTCTGGCTTCCGCCTGAAACGAGGCACATGGCTGCGTCCAGATTGGGGCCACTGCTCAGGCCGCCCGGTGATGCGGATACCGGCGAGGGGCAGCCCGAGCTGCTGCAATGATTTGTCCCGCTTCCTGATCCGCTCACCGCATTATTTGTGCACAGCTTTGAGATAAACAACTTGGGCGTAATCCGACCGTCGTACGTTCCGGAATCCGGGCTGGGACACACCGACGACGGTGATTGGCACACAGGCGAGGAGCCGCGACTGGGAGGGAAAGAAAAAATACATTATATTAATCATAAAAGACATATTTTCTTTAGTTGTTGGTTACATTGTTTTTTTTTGCATTTTGCCACGTGCTAATCTTATAAAATTTATCGCATTTGTGCATTTTCAAATATAGTTTTAATCAGTGCCAGCGCATTCTGCATTTATTTTTAGCTTATAGAGGAATGTTTCGATGTCGAAAACAATCCGAAAATAATGTAAATAATTCTGAGAGAAGCTACATTTTATTTTAAATGAACTTTTGCCCCAGAAAGAAATTAAAGGCAAGTATAAGCAAAGCAAATAAAATAGTTTTACGGTTTAGTTTGCTGTACAATTTGCATATACCCATTAGTGATCTTAAGATATTATAACTTAAGATAATATATAACTTACCTCTCCGTAAATATCTTTTTAAGCGGCGGTGGGGAATACACACTCCAATTACTTCCCTGCGTGGGAGCATCGTCCAGCTCAAACTTCCGCTTCACCGGTCCCAGCTGCGATGGCCTCATGGCAATCGGTGACATCGATCTCCGGGTGGCAAATGTCCGCCTCGTGGGCGATGGCGAATATGGTAGCCGCATTCCGGCTCGATTGTTAGTTGGACTGGGACTGGAGCAGCTGGTGCTGCCGGTGGGCGGCAGGTTGACCTGCAGGGGATTCGAAAACTCATCGGATTTGCAGGACCAGTTCTCAGCCACCAGTGTGAGATCCTCCCAGCTCTGCGATATCTGTATTTCCCGATGCACTTCTCGCTCATGGTTCACCTCGCGACTATTTAGGTCCGCACACTCCTCCTGCCGCAACTGGGAGACCCTGGGCGTTAGGCAGAGAGTGGCTCCATTGGCGGCTGTGGTCAGGGGACTATAGCTAGCCGAATAGCGTCGGGCTCGCGGTGTGAATATATTGAATACTGGAGCCGGGGACACCTCCCTCGAGTTGGGCTGCGAGCGTATGTGTATGTTCTTGCCAAAGCGATCGATGGAAGCAATAGTTGGCATTTGGATATCAAGCACCGGTTGATGCTGGCTCTTCTTGGGCGTCTGCTCGTGCTCCCTGGCCGCCAGAGCAGCCGCTGCAGCTGCCCGGGTGGTCATTGGAGTTTTTGCACCCGGAGTTTTGCCCGTTGACGGGGTCCGGATTATGGGCACACTCAGGCATCGTTTAAGGGTCTTTGAATTACTGTTGTTGGCGCTATTCGGCGGCGGTGGGTCCAGAGTGTCCATGGGCATGGCCATGCTGGGTTTTTCTTCCTGCTTCTCCTCATCGCCGCTGGCTTTCGTCTCCGATTCCATTGCCGTCTATCTAAAAATAGAAGATGTTTAGATTTCTTCTTGACTTCTAGGGTTTATTTTTATAGCCTTGGAGAGGGGGTAGTTCGACCTCTTCTCGGGAGTTCCTTAGGATTATTTTTAATCGAACGTAAGACACAGTTTGACAAGTTAGTTCCTAAATTAAAGAGCATTTGTGGTATTTTACAGCTAAACTTAAAGCGATTTCTACTTTTTTTAGGTACAAATGTTATTTTAAACTTTAGAAATTATAAAGGTTATAGTAATATATATTATTTACGATTTACGATACACAATAACAACTTGTAGTCTTAACGAACATTGGTTTTATCTTAATAAGTTAATTTATATTAATAATTAAGAAGTTATCATAACATATAGAAACTTCATTAGGAAATATCAATTTAAAATCTACAAAAATAATGGTTTATGTCTAATCTGAGTTCAATGATAGTTATTTTAATAGAATTCCGTGGATATTCCCAAAAAATAAAGACAATAATCACAATACAAGTAGAGCCACGAGCCAGTCGGCTTTGCCAGCTCCCGTTCCCTTCGGCGGCTACCTCCATACCCCGTTGTTACCTTATGTCCTTGGGCAGCAGCACGGGAAATTTATCCCCGATTTTCCGCCAGGACTTCGGGGCGCAGCTACTGCGCTGCCGGCGTCGCTGCCGCCTCGGGGGCAGAGAGACTGTCTAGTTTTTTTTTCTCACTTCTCCACACAAACTGCGTGCCCAGCGAGGCAACTTTTGCAGGCCAATTTTCACGAACCAAGTGCAATTAGCCGCCGCAAATAACTGCTGATTTAGCTACGCCAAACCGTGAAGTACACTTGGCACTACCTTAAATGTACACAATACTCTTGCATATGCCTTTAAATACTTACAAAATTGTGTCCTGCGATTGTAATTTTTCAGCTACCCGTTTAGTTTTTTTCTAGTGTTGACAAGCGATTGATACGCGTGCTCACGAGGCACGAGCAAGCGGAATGACAAACTAATAATCGGATGAAAAATGTACAAAAACTGGAAAATCTCACGTCCAAGTTGAGCAATTCGTATAGATAGTAAAATCTTTAATTTAACTATTAATGTGTTGAAGTGTTTTTTGTTGGATATTAATGATTATTTAGCTTTAATCCGCTGGTCTGATGACCAAGCCAATTTTCTACCAGTTGGAGCTCTCGTCATGCAGCTCTGTCCTTGTGCGTTGCCAAACACTGTGCGCGCGCATTTCGAATTCAGGCGCTTAACTTGTAAAATATAAATATTATAAAAGTTTAAATTAAATAATTTTTAGATCTCTTTGACAGACGAAAAACATAAAATGTAATTATAATGTCTTTTCATATGTATGTATGTATATATATTGTACAAGATTATTCGGAACATTATTTCGGCGTTAAAGGAATGTGATAATACATTAATATCAAATGAAAATGGCATTAATTTAAATTAAATTAAAACATTTTAGCAATAAAATAATATTTTGTATCCTTTAATTTTAAAAAGTATATTTTTTTTAGTATTTTTATTTTTTCAATTTTTCCATTTGTTTTTAGACATTACTTAAATTTAAGTGTTTCATTTTGGCAGCAAAAAAAAATTGATTTATGCACCATACAAATTAAAAACTGAATATATTAAGCTCTAGATAATTAATAAATATGCTTAACCTTTTCAAAAGTACATTTTTTGATATTTTCCTTTTTTAGCAATTATTAAAATAATTTTTATATATTATTATTATTATTTATAATATATCAAACAAGAAAGGAATCTTACTTCGGCACGCCGAAGTTTATATACCCTTGCAGATAGTACTTCGATGACTAATTAATTAATACAATATAAATTTTATATATTTATGTTGAAAAACAATGAAGTAATGCCTGCTTTCATTTCATTCACCTATATATATATTATATTTATAATTTTACATTCACAGTTTTGCATTTTCCTCTATATGTAACGATCTAAAATTGAAATTCTGGAATAATATAATAGGGCTAATATAATAGGGCTGTAGAATAATATAATATGGCTATATCTCAAATTGAAAAGTTATATTTTTTTCTAAAAATTTCCGATTCTTCTTATGGCAGCTATATGATATAGTCGTCCGATCTGGCCCGTTCCGACATATATACTAGTGAGAGTATAAAGATTAACTGCAAAGTTTCGTTCAGACAGCTTAAAAACTGAGAGACTAGTTTACGTAAAAACTGACAGACGGACATGGCTATATCGACTCGGCTGTTAATGCTGATCAGGAATACATATACTTTATTTGGTCGGAGATGACTCCTTCAATGCGTTCCAAACCCCTGACTGAAATTATAATACCTTGCAAGGGTAATACCATTTAAGCAGGTAATGCTTTTTGGTATTAAAAATCCCGAATACAATTAATGTATTTTTAAAGACACCATTAAAAGTCCGTTTATAGACACATGTTATATTTATTCATTATGAGAAACTTAAGAAAACAAAGTCGTGTTTTACAAACATCAGTTGTAATTTTGGTTTTTTTCATGGTTTGTTAAACGTTAACAGAAATCACATCAAATTATAAAGTAACACAGTCGGAACCAAGATATCAGACTAATTGAAATCTGTAAACCATACGCAACTTCGTGTTGAACGCTGGGCGATTGAAACTATATAGAAAATTGATTTTCTTTTATACTTCTTAGTCGGTTTTTCCTTTCTCAACTAATATAATACTTTAGACTTAAATAACCGTTTTTTTTCTTTTTTTGTATTCGACGAAAGTTTTTCATTTTGCTTTGTTGTCTACGAGCTAAAAGTACATATTAAGCTAATTTGTTGCTTGATGCGTTTTTGTGTTTTTGCTTCATTAGAAGGCGATCCTCCTCTTTGGGCTTCCTTTTTGGATGGTTTAGCAATTGAAATCGTTCGTTACTTTTCTAAGAACTATGTCCCACGGGTTGGGGGGAGAGAGGATCTATCGCAACCGATGATGATTGTAAATATGTAATGATGGGTGAAGCATTTCTATGAGCGACGACTGAATATTAAATTGCATTGGTTGTTCTTGTGTTGACTTGGCAAACGCAGAGCATCTGAGCGTAGTTACATCGCGGTTCTGGTATCTGGAATCTTGGTAAGACTTTGTACTTAGCCATCGGCCAAAGCTGGTGTCACCCATCCGTACTTTTCGTGTGTCTTTACCAGCGAACGGAACGACTCTTCGGCCTGGCGACTGCAAAGGAATATAATATTTGAATTATTTCAATTTAATATATACATTTCAGGAGGACTCAACTAACCGAGTAAACTCCTTAGCATTCTTTGGCTTGCGCGTTATACGCCCCTGACCCTTGACAACGCTGGCAGCGAACTGCATGATGACCGCTTCCACCGTATATGCACTGGCCCATCCGCGGGGCGTTAGTAGCTCCATGCAAATAGCCCCGCCCTCCATCACATAGCCCTTCTCGATGCGCGGCTCCACGACACGCATGAACGGCGGGGCGAACGGAAAGTTGTCGGGAAAGCTCAAATGCAGCAGGATGGCCGGAACGCCCATCTCAACCATATCCCGGGCAAGTGGTGAGTCGGGATCTATCACATGAAGGCGGACATGCCACTCAAACAGGTTGTCATTGACGAGTTCCACCTGTAAAGATGTAAAGGTTAGCAAATTGAAGTCTCGATATAGATATATCCTTGGACTCACTGTGAAGACGGCATCGTTCTTGGATTGGAGCCGCTCCATTTCACGGTACTCCTTCATGAGGCGCCGCGAACGGATCGTTTGATCCGGCGCGGCTACCAGATGGCGTCCCGTTGTCGGCGCCACCCTGCCAAGAAGGATTGCGAATTTTAGTTTATGAACAACAAAGCAGTTTGAAACAATGTTTCTTTTTTTGATTTACTAAACAGAAATATTTACTTGTGATCTTGTCGTCGCCGCTTGCCTGGTGAGTCCCAAACGGCCTGTTCGGCTGCCATTCGCACCACAGCATTTTTGGAGGCAGCAGCTCCGGATCCAGATCCTGATCCTCCTCCGCCCATAGCACCGCCACCCATTGCTCCTGCGCCGCCGGCTGAAGGAGCTGCCGCTGCAGCCTCATGGTTATTATTGGTTATATTCGGATTGCTTCCAGTAGCACCATCAATTTTGTCATTGTTATTATTATTATTATGGTTGTTATTATTATTATTATTATTGTTGTTGTTGCTGGACTTGTGGAAGATTTTGCGGAATGCCGTGACAACTCTCTCCTTGGAACGCGATGACATCTTTGTTAGCGTTATTATTGGCTTTGGGCTTGGTCTATCTCCTTGTCAATTACTCTTAGTATATTTCTTGTGCTTCGTTTTTTGTTTATTTGTGGTTTAGAGTTAAGTTTGAGCGGTGGTGGCTTGTTTGAATTCCTATAGTTTACAAGTTATTGTGTGGGGCGTCGTGGTTGTTCAGTCTTATTTCATTAAATTGTTTTGTGGTTTTTGGTTATGACTTAAGCCTGAAAAGGGAAAAGGAAGAAAATCAAATCAATAAATAAAAGTTGTATGCTTTTGAAAACCAAAGTAAGCCACCTTTCTTTGTCTTCTCTATATTTAACCCCACATAACACATGTGTATCGTCAACAAAATGACCACATTTGCATTTTCTTGGGTTCTGACTTTATAAAATTAACATACTTGTGCATGTTAAGGATGCCATTTAGCTTGGAACTTGATTCCCCTCAAGCAATTTTCATATTTTAGTAGTCCTTCTTTCCCGTACAAATTTTGTGACCTTGAACTGGGTTACCCCCCTCCCACCGACGACAACAATAACCAGTGGGGGTAATTCTACCATGTCTCGGAGTCATGACCACAAACACATCATCCTTGGCGAACTTTTCAAGTGAATAACGAGGAGCAGCCAACGGAATATGTTAAATACACCCACTTTACCACAACAGCACCAACAAAAAAGGTAGGAAAAACAAAACAACTCATAAATGCGGTCGCAAGAATGACATAAAAACTTATTCCGTCGCAGACAGAAGATTTCCAAGGAAGCTTTAAGGGATAACATACTATATTAACCGAGGGAACTACATATTATGAAAAAAAATATTTAAGGGAATTCTCAGTTAATAAGAAATCAAGGGGGTAACTGCAGAACTTGTCTAATGTTTTATATTTAATTTAGAAACTAAAAGAGGTCTAATATAAGTTTCTAATAACTTGCACCTTTTGTTTCAAGACGATATATTTTAATTAATAGAAATACTTCTTTTCCGTATTCAAACTAAAAATCTCTCTTGCTTTATCCCAAAAGTTTACATAGCCTCTGGATTGGCACAGTCTCCGCTTGCCTTTGACCCTACCTATTTTCAGTGGTTGCCAGTGGGAGCCACCTCATTCTCTGTCTTTTGACCAAACCCGTCCCGACTCGAGGTGTTGACCGTGTTTGGTCTCGCCAAAGTGTTTGCCTTGCACATAATTAGCTTGACCCCCAGTGCACGAGCCCTCAAAGGGGGGATTATTTCTGGGGTCACTCCCGGGGCTTCTGGACACAAGCCAAGACCTGGGAACTTGGTGACCAAGGACAACCGTTGTGGGCGTTCCATTTTTATGGCCGTGGGTGGTATGGCTAAGGGACCATTATTATTATTATAATAAGAGGTCGGATAAGTGTGAGCCAAGTTGAGAGCAGAAAGATCAGATAAAACGAGTTTCGAGGGAACCTACGGCATTTTTGCCAAGTAAAAAGAAGCTGTAGAGAATAAATTATGTATTAAATTTGAGTGGAAACTAATTTCCTTTGCTTAAAATTTAGGTATATATTAAGAACTCATTTTCTTTGGTTATTTTCCTGAAGTCTGATACATTTTCCTGTTTCAGAAAACCTTCACACATTGTCCTTTAATTTCATATTATTCATAATTTATTACCCTTAACTATTGGCTCCTCTTTCTTTGCTCATCTTTTATTCATTCCCAATCCAATGAAAGTTTCTCCCTTTTCTCCCAAAAATTATAGCACTTTGCTCTAGGCTTTAGAACTTCTTCCGTAATCTTGCAAATTATGAATGATTGATGGATTAATGAACCGGGTTGGAGAAGCGAAATCCACTCTCTGAAACTGACCTCCCCCAAAAGACTGACTCATTAGGAGTTCATCAAGATTCGAACTATCCCTGGGCCCGTTTTCCTACTTTTCCTTCCTTCCTTCCCGCTTTCCGGTTAGCTATGAGCCATTTCCTTCCTGCAGCTCAGCTCTTGTGTGTTCTGTGCCCAACTAAAAGTATTTTTAGAGAAACTTTTTGCACTTTTGCTTTCAGCCAGGGCACTAAAAGGAAAAATAAAAGCTGACCGAGGCCGAAACAAAGGCGCCACAGGCATCCTCTTCTCAGTGCAAAAAATAATATTATATCCAAGACCAAGCAGGTTCCACAAATAATGCAGACCAAAAAGGGGAGGAGAGATGTGTATCCGAGTCATGTGGATGGAAATGTTTTCTGGCGCTCAGCGCAACACATTTCTACAGTTCTTTCACCATTTATTTAACCAAATAAATGTCAACAATGGTTGACATATTTTTTCTCCTCGTCCACAAACGCGCCCAGAGACTCTTGAAATGTCTATATACCAGGCAGTAGGGTGCATCGATTCAGATTTTAAAGAAACTATAATAAAATGTGTAAAGAATGGTTTAAAATTTACAAAAAATTGGGAAATATATATTTTGTTCGATCAATCAAAGTTTAAACAAGAAAGGAAGCTAACTTCGGCACGCCGAAGTTTATATACCCTTGCAGATAGAACTTCTATGAATAAAAAACCATACAATATAAATGATACATATTTGTGTTAAAAACAATGAAGTAATACCTGCTTTCATTGTATTCACCTATACATATTATATTTGCAGTTTTACATTCAAAGATTTGCATTTTTCCTCTACATCAAACGATCGTTTGTATGGCACCTATATGATATAATAGTCCGATTTTCATAAAATTTTACACAAAATTTAAGACTAATATAAAATGCCTATACCTAAAATTTGATGAAAATCAGTTGAAAACTGAAAAGGTTATAATTTAATTGAATTAATTTCTCGATCGTCCTATGGGAGCTATATGATATAGTAGTCCGATTTTCATAAAATTTTATGCAAAATTGTAGAGTATAGTAAAATGGCTATATCTTAAATTTGATCCAATTCTATTGAAAACTGAAAAAGTTAACAATTTTTTTGTAAAAATTTTCCGATCATTCCTAAGGCAGCTATATGATATAGTCGTCCGATCCGGCCCGTTCCGACATATATACGAGTGAGAGTATATAGAAGGCTAACTAAAAGTTTCATTCAGATAGCTTGAAAACTGAGAGACTAGTTTGCGTAGAAACGGACAGACGGACAGAAGGACAGAAGGACAGACGGACAGACGGACATGGCTAGATCGACTCGGCTGTTGATCCTGATCAAGAATATATATACTTTATATAGTCGGAGGTGCCTCCTTCACTGCGTTGCAAACTTCTGACTGAAATTATAATACCCTGCAAGGGTATAAAAATACATAATTAAACCAAGAAACCATTAATTTTAATTCGTAAAGCGTTCCTTTGTTAGTTTTTATTCGGTTAATAAATCTGAATACTTTTTGAAATAAAAAAAAATTTTAATTTTGAAAACTAACGATTTAACCCCTTATAAAATTTTGGAAAATTTCGAATTTTTTTTGTTGCCTTAGATATATACATATGTATATGTATATATATATATATATACATATGGTTTATGGGGTCGGAAATGACTCCTTCATAGCGATATAAGCTTTTAACTTAAATTACAATACCCTGCGAAAGGGTGTAATATGAGCCACCCTAATGCAAGTACGTGTATCTATAGATTGGGCGACAAATTGACTGTGCGGGTTGAAATTACAGCTCTCACAAAAAGTATATATATCTTATCTGGCGCCATGAAAATCGATACGGAGAATGACCCTTATCATATCCCCCTTTGTACCCCTTTTTCCTGCATTTTACCCACTCTATAACTGACCTATCCCACCCAGCAGATATATAGGACTTATTTAATAATAGCCTACGGAGCTGTTGCTTGGCTAAATCTGTGTTATTTGCCATTCCCAATATAGATAAGAGCGAAAAAGTCGTTAAAACAGGTGGCGGTCACGTTTTATGAATCTAGTTAATGGTATCCAATAGGATTGATGGATATTTAATGACGTTTTGCTTAATGTCAAAGTTTTAATTTAGTAATTGATAGTTAAAAAAGCTAATATACTGTAAATAGTACTAATATTAATTATCTTTCCGTAGATTAAATCGCAGCACAAGTACAATATCTTCCAACAATTTTAATCCCTTTTAAAGAACACGTTTAAAAGTAGTAAATTTTTCAGAAAATTTGTGCATTTGTGCACAAATCAGATAATCAGATTGTACAAAAAACATAAGTATATAATATGTACATATTTCGGAATATAAACAACTGGACTCATGTTTATTGTTGTTTCATTGCATGCAAATTTCCTCGCCTGTCGCATGCAAAATTTTGAACGCAAACACGAAAGCACAAGGGGAAAAGAAAACAATAACACGAACTGGGAAAAAATGCAAAAATGTTAAAATTAAGAAAAGAAATGAGAACTGTGTCAGTTTGCGAAAAAATGCAGGCAGTCAGAAGCGGAGCTGCTCAAGTTCCCTGCTCTCCTTACGCTTTTTATTTATTGATTTCTGTTCCTGCTGACTGACTTTTTAATTGCATTCGGAATGAAAATCAAGAAGTAAAACCAGAAAATTCACTTTTAAAATTATTTTAACATCATTAAATAAGATTTTAAAAATTCCTTTGCCAAAAAATACTTGGAAAATTAATTATTATTTATCACTAACGGATGTTCTTTAAAATCATGAAGTTTTCATTAATAATAATTTATAATTTGAGAATAAATAACCAATAACCAAATACCCAATTAAATTTATTTTATGATCAATTAATTCACTTTCATTTTTAATATTCTAAAAATACACTAATTTTTATGGAGTTTTAAACAAATTTAAAATGCAAGCATTTTTCTAAGTGCACTGACCGTGTGAGAGAGAGATCGCTCGTTAATCAACTGTTTGGTGAGTAGTTGAAAAAATGCGGAAATATTTGCCAAGGGGAAAGGAGGAAGCTGAAGAAAGATGGGGGGAGAGAGAGAGTGCCTGACTAATGGCCCCTGCAACGGTTCTTTGTTCTCCCCCATTAGCGAACACCTACCCACACAGACACACACACGCTCACTCCACAGACAATTAATCCCACTCACCCCCCTTTTTTTTGCATCATCAACCTCTCACCCACACAGATTGCTTACGGTGGCATTCGGTGTCCCTTTCCACTTCCTGCCACGCGCCTGTCGCTGGTCATCCTCTCATTACACTAACACTTACACTCACACTCACACTCTTACCCTTGCACTTGCACTCGTCCTCTCATCAGTGATGCCCAATATGAATGGTTAACC